CAAAGTGTTGCCTTCATCTAAACATGGTATGTGAGGAGGAGGCTGGGGCTGGAATTGCAAGGGGTCGGTTTATAGGAACACCTTCAAACAGTTCTTACGTAGTGCATATTAGCACAAATTTGAGAAGGGAGGCTGCTCAGATCCAATGTAAGAACCATGTTATTTGAAACCAAACCTCCAGGGAGCAACTTATTTTTTTAAATAAGAAGGAGAAAGGAGACTCAGACCAAAACCCTTTGCAGATATTGACATTATAACTAGAAAACTGTTTTAAAACTTCAGACTGCATTCTGAATTTCAATAAGCGTATTCTGACTGCAGAGTACAGAAGGATTTCTTACTGTGTTGATGGTTTTAATGTTCAATAAAGATAGTCATATTTTGCAAAAAGCTGTGCTGGAAGGGCAGCATATTGTTTATATCACAGGCTAAAGATCACTGCCATACAAGCATGTACTTAGTGGCAAAGAAGGGCTGAGGGGATCTGGGTTCAAGGGAGTTTAATTTTAGAGTGCAGAGCAGGTCTAGCTTACATCCCACCATTGGTTTCCTTTGAAATGTTAACAGCATTAAATTGCTGCATACAACCAATTGAGGAACACTACGATAATATATACAACTTTCTTCTCTCTCTGCTAGACGGAAGGTTTCAGGTACCCCAGGCCTTCATCAGTGCCACCATCACCTTCTGTCTCTCAGCATTCCAGCCCTCACCATAGCGAGGATGAAGAGGAAGATGAGGATGAAAGATATGATGAGGATGAGGAAGCTGAAAGGGATAGGCAAAACATCAAGTCTCCCTTTTCTCTTGGAGTATTGCCACAAGGAAAAAAGAAGCAGCATGGAGAATACAGGAACTGAATTCATTGCTCTCATCCTGGCAGGATCTCTCCATCCATTCAACAGTTTCTCCTGTAGGCTTGGCAAGCTTTGTGTTAAGGACACTGTGATATAATTAGGGGAATTTTAACCGTTACTTGAGCTACACTTTTGAAAAGCTTAATATTATTTTAGCTTAAAAGTAGTTTAAATGGCAATGCTTTTGTGCCCCTTTGAGGTAGAAAAGATTTCTCAAGCTTAATAGACCTAGACAAAGCGACAATCCCCTCAGAGGCTTATACAAACTGCAGATCATACCTTTGTCTGCATAATGATCTATATTAATCATAGTCTATGCTGATAACTCCATTATGGATGTCCCAAATGTATTACTGCTTCATTTATGTTCCCCCTTTTCCCCTCCTAAACTACCATGAACTTTAAGACAGAGCTCAAAAAATTTAGAGAAAAAAAGTGTTACACTGGGGAAACCTCAGCAGAGTTAAAATAGATACACTGAAAAGAAAATGGTCGTTCTTTTTCCTTATGCTGTTTATTGTAAACTTACATCATTTAAAACATTTTTTTACAGCACACAGAAGTGTCTTGATGACACAGGTAAAACACACCTCCTGTGGAACAATAGAAAGCCTTATGCAGTGGGCATTTGAATTTTAGAGACAAATGAAGTCATCTTTCTGAAGTCATTTAGACCCACAATAAACAGCAGACCATTTATTTCCTCTGGTATGTCTCTTGTTGTTTTCATCGTGTCTTAGATTCTAAGTTTGTTAACAAACTAGTTTGTGAGGAAATTAATGTGAGTTGGCTACAGAGAATGACAACATTTCCTTAAGTAACCCCTTCCCTTGCAGACAAACCTACATGCCATAGAGCAATGTGACAACATTCAAAGATGAGTAACTCCAGTTCTTCCAATTGCCCCATTAATCCATGGTCCATTTCACTTCTTCTAGAAGAGGCCTAATAATAACAAACAATGCTAAAAGAATTCCAAGAACACATCTGCCCCACAGACATAATTTCGAAAAGCACCTGAAACTTCAAAATGCTTGGGGAATAATTGAACCTCACAATGAGAACTAGACATTTCATTTGCCTTACAGAAAGCTTTCAAAAGTATTTCAATTCCTAGAGATGCAGAGAGGGCCTGAACATGCTCTTCAGAAGTAGATCTTGACATGAAGACATTAGGAAGGAGATTCATCTTCTATTTTAGAAGTTTGTGCATCCAGAATTTCTCATGCTGTTCAAGAAAAGACATTTCCAGGAATTGATTCAGCCTGTTCTTCAGCAGGTAGGATGATGTAACCTTTGGAGGTCAATCCCAAGGGGAGCCTAGATGTTCAACTTTGATTAGATACCTACCTTTCAAACACTTACCCAACATTTGATGACATGGTTCTTACCATAGGCCATATAGAATAAAAGTGATTAGGTGCCTCTTTTTATTTTTGGCCACTTAAAATCAGTTTTAAAATTTGACTGAAAGAGTAACTATTCTCAGAAGATGGGATCAGGTTTCTATGGCAAAAACTTAATTGGATTTAAAAGGAGTCACTAATTTTTAGCCATTTTTAAAGTTATTAAAACAATGAGTAGTTATTTTTTCATATAAAAGTGGTAAAAGCAAAGATACTGCAAATATTTTCCTTCATATAGTTTACTAAGTGGAGAACAACTGCATTTTGTGAGTTCAGAAATGTATATTCTTCCCCAAAGTGCTTTTAATCAAAGTTCCCTTGCAGAGTCAAAGAATGGCCAAGTATTGGAACAGGCTGCCCAGGGAAGTGGTGGAGTCACCATCACTGGAGGTGTTCAAAACACATGTAGATGTGGCACTTCAGGACATGGTTTAGTGGGCATGGTGGGGTTGGGTTTACAGTTGGACTTGATAATCTTAAAGGTCTTTTCCAACCTTAATGATTCTATGATTCTAATGTAATGGCTGAGAGTCCCAACAAAAGAACATTTAAAGGGCATATTGATTGAAAGTTGTTCTCCTCAAAAAAAAAGTCAAGAAATCTGACATTATTGCTTGTATTTCAATGCACTGTTGTACTGAAGGAAGCACTTCACCCCAAATTCCCTGTAATCAAAATTGCATTAACATCATCTGAGAGTGATCCAGCACTTCCTTTGTTGCCTAAAAATGTTCTGGTAGCCATAGGCTGGTGAACATCTGTTTATCATCATTCCAGACCCAGCTTCATTACAGTGCTGAAAGATGTGATCACTACACATATATTGTAAGTATTGCTAAATGATGAGGGCACAGCACAGATAATATGGGAACTGGAAATGTTTTGCTAGGGTTGCATTAAGACAGCTACACTTGTTCTTTCTGGACAAGTCCCAGAGGAAAAAAGTAAGCAACAAATATCATCCAGGTTGCAGGTTCTCTTAGATGTGCTTACGGTGTTTGAGTTCCCTGGGAAGAGCAGAGGGTTGGCATGACATCTCACACAAATCCAGCTGTTTGTTTCAGCACACACTTTGAGCACCTGCTCAGTGACAGAAAACGCACAACTTTTGAGATATGACTAATGTGAATACTATGCCCATTCTTCTCAGAAATGGTCCTGCAGTGGCCAAAGTGACCTCTGCCTTGTGCCTCTAGACTTTTTTTACTTCTGCATTGAATGCTAGGTCTAGTTGTCAAGTAGCAAGGCAATTTAAGCACAGCAAAACATTTCTGCCTTTTGAATTTGCAGTATTAGAGGGAATGGCTTTTCATTCAGTCAAGGCAACAGATTGCTTAACTTAAATGCCACACATTTCTAACAGCTACTGACATCTGACAAGCTTGGTAGCAACTGTTACATAAGTGATCTGCCAGATTAAAAATATTAGGGTTTCACAAACAGCTCAACCAACAAGGCAGAATGTTTATTCTATTTCATGATATTTGTAAAGAATTGTTTAAGCTAGTGAACTTAGATTAGTAATACATATCAATCAACTGGGAATGTGATTAGTATGGGTTCTGTATCTCTGGGTCATTTAGAGGCATAGAAATTTCATTATGCTAATAAACCAAAGGATGTATAAGCCTTCTACTTCTTGTCTGAGCACTGACTGATCATACTGTAAATTATGCTGAAAAATAACTTAGATGCACCTGAGATATTCGGAGTATGCTTGAAACAAAGAATTAAATTAATGAAAAGATTCTGGTAGATACCATTGGTCTTTAGATGAAGTTCATCACTAACACATTCTGTCATACAACATATACTGCTATTGAAAGATATATTAGTGCTTAAAAATGAACAAAAAAGGACATTTTGATTTCTCCAGTCATGTTCCTCCATGAAATTATATAGATTATAAACAATTACCGAAAATGCCTATAGTCCCATCATAGAAATTAAGTCCTCTGTTCCTTCAGCTGCATTCCTTTCTCGAGGAGAAGCAACATTATAGTTAGTGTGAGTTAACAAAATTAATTAACAGTGTCATAAGAAAGATCAGAGGAAAGTAGCATCAAAAGATGAAGAGCATGACTAGGGTTAAAGGTAAAAAAAAAACAACATCGTTGCTTGGACACAAGAGTCATGTGGCTACTTTTTAATTTCATGAGAACTACAGAGGGCTTTCCAGTAAGACCACAAAACTACATAAATAATATTAAATATATCCTTATCAGCATGGAATGATAATTAATCAATTTGTGTATAAATCCAGTTTTACAACTCAAAATCCAAGCCAACAAAAACATACAATAATGATGCAATTAATATTCTGTGTGCCTGTTGTCATGTGTGACACTAGATTTGTACCTAGTACACCACCACTAGCTCCAGCAGTATTGCACCTCCTGACAACAGTAGTGGCTGTATGCCACAGTCATTAACGAGGCCCCAATCCTGTAAGACCTATCCCCATACTATCTTTATGTGGTGGGACTTGCTCAGTAGGATTGTTCAGAGTATACATTCCTACATGCATGTAATTGAGGCAGCACTGAGGTCTAAGTAAGTGCTGCTGCCTATTCTCTGTGGTGACAGGTATCTGCAAAAAAGTCACCTGCTTTGCAGTCAAAGATAGCTGGATTGTTTTAATATCTCACTGACTTTATTGACACTCAGCAACTTACAGTGAAGGGCCAACAGTGAAGTGGTGAAGGAATCTACCTTTATCGGAAATAAAAAGGCTTCAGTATACAGCTGGGTGGAAGGCGGTAAAAGGTTTCCCAAAGAATATTGAAAAATTGTTTTTAATGAAGCAGTTGTCCAAAAAGATGGTTTAAATCATCTTTTCAGGTAAGTTGGTAGTGTATTTTAAATTTTGGGTGAGACATACAAAACGGTCTACACAAGGCAGGAACTTTACAAATTATTTCCTTATCTGAACTAGTAACTTTTAATCAGTTTGCATTCAAAATGTTGCAATGAGTATGTACTTCACCCTTTGGGAACTTAAGTGAGGATAGATGAAATACTCTGTTTACACAAATCAATATTTCAGGGTATATGCAATACAAATGTTAAAGAAATTTGAAATATTTCACCAATTTGATAGATTATCTGTCAAGTAGCCAGGGTGATCACTGTTTTCTTCTTCAACTGTAAGACAAGACATAATGGGGAAAAATAAGCTGTAGATAAAGTTCAGTCAGCCAAAGTTTTCACAAGATAGATGTGCCTCAGGCACAGGCATAGTGTAATATGACTGTTTAGCTAAGAGATGCAGGCATCTGTAGGAATAATCATATCTTCTCTCATTTTAAATGTAGGAATTTTTGTTTGCTGAAGAGCAAAGATACAAACCATGTGCAGAGGGATATTTTCGTTCAAGGCAAAAATTATTCATGCAGAAGAAAAAAAATGTATTTGTTCTTTATTTGCACGTTTCTCTCAGTCAAGAGGATTCTAAATTCACCTGAAAGTGATCTTCTGAAAGTGCAGGGCTTACCCAGGATTGACTATGTTGTTATTCCCTGCTGCAATGATGGCAATGTTATTCCACATAGTATTTTTGAAAAAAGCTGCCAGTTCTGCTTAGTGCTCTCAGATATG